GATTCAACTCGAATTTCACTGTATAAGAACTCTTCTATTTGGAGAACGGAGTTTATGTGAAATAAACTTCCTGAGAATGTGTTTCCAAATGGATTTAATCTCCAGCGAATCAAATGCAAAGTGAATCACTACTTTCTCACAAGCACCGCTCTAAGAGCGCCTTAAGGATTTTCCAGTACTGATTGTGTTTTCTCCTTAAAAAAAGCTTGAGAGTTTGAAATTTGAGTGTCAATATAATCCAAAATTAGTTGTTCAACTTTTTCGTAGAGAGGTAATAAATTAAGTGGTCTAAATTCTTCACTTTCAGAAGCAGTGTTGTACTATTTTGAATCACCAGATATGTCTTTCGATAATTAGTATAAAATCATCATCTAACTCTTTTAATTTTAATTATTCCAAACCTTCTTTCGTATGATTGAAAAAATTCCTAGTTAGGACCGAAACACGTCTCATCCCCGTAGGCGAATCTGTTTGATTGGTTTAATTGCAACCTCTGACGTAAAATTAATCTAGTGAATACACTTTTTCCATACCACAACAAAAACACTGTCTCTGTCTCAGTTATCTCCTGATAATTATCACTTGGTTAGCGAAACACGTTTCAAGAGAGTCTTTTTTTTATTATCACGCTTTTATTAGCTTCACCTGTATGTATGTATGCATGTATGTTTGTTTGTTTGTAACTCTCAAGCTTGGGATCTGTATTTGACAGAAGTATCAACATTATTGCTTGATCTATTCGCGGGCAGATGGCGCCGTACGCCATATATAATTCGAACTCACTTTACATATATTTCTTCATTTGAAAAAAGGATTTTTAACACGCATCGGAAGCTTCCAATATTAAAATTTTCAATGAAACTAATTTAATCCTCAGCATTCAATTAAATGAGAAGTTCACGCCACAGAAATTGAGAAAATAACTCAATCAATATGTCGGTCTCCACAATTCCTCTCATTTTTTTTTCAGGGTAAAGCTCAATAGCCAAATGATTTGCATCATCGATCAATAAGACGCTTATACTCTCGTGATTTGTAGATACATTTTCTTCTGGGCGAATGTCTCTGTGTTCATTCACTTCGATTTTCATTTCCGTTGTTGGAAAAATCAATTTCCTGTCAATCACGAATAAATTTCGTGAAACGGCTATTAAAATTTTAGAATGTACCCCTTTCATTCATTTCTTATCGGTTTCATTATCACATTCCATTTCGTTTATCCTTGAAAATGATTAAATCTTGTTTGATTTGAAGTAACGTACATTCCCTATCCAAAACTGGGATATGCTAAGGTTTTGTAAAATTTCAAATAATATTGACTTTCGTTATTCACAAATCATTGTTTGAAGTTCGGGAGTGTTACTGTGGACTATTCATTTCAATAATCAAATCCAATATTACTGACCAATGCCTATTTTGATGATACTCCAACAAAAATAGCAATGAAGACACACCTAACGAAAACGACCTTTGAGATTGGTAGAATACTAAAACCACAAATAACATAGAGTTTCAATAGCGGATCTTTGCAAAGCTAAACTCCAAAATCAATGACCGAATGAGAAATCTCTTTCTCTTTCTCTATCTCTCTCTCTGTTGCTTTCTCAGGCAATAAAATGACAAAGCCCAAACGCTTCGCATCCTTGATTATTCATTTAATTATTTATTCATTTATTTATTATCCACACAAGCTATCACAGCCTAATTACATGAATTAAAAAATAAAAGTTCATATAATCCTTGGAATGCCTACTTATGAAAGTATAAAATAGTAAAATATATACCAAAACTGTAGAGAGAAATACTGCTTAAATAGGTAAATTTAACATATTTTCCAAAAACTTTTTACGGAATACTGATTGGGAAATTGTCCAGTCAAGATCTATTGATATATTCAAACGATCAACTAACTTTAGTAAGGATATTAGTGGAGCTTTCGTTGCGGTACTTATGGTTGGAATATTGAACATCAGCGAAAATCGGGTGCGACGAGGGGGTACGTGAAATGATAACATACTGAGAATTTCTGAAGAATCAATGTTGTTATTCAAGAGTTTGTGCATGAATATCATTACTGATAATTGACGTTGCTGTTCTGGAGATAATATTTTAAATTCATGTCGTAGATCCAAAGACCTTGTTGAGTTGAATTGACCACTTGTGATATCGCTTAAAAAATAAATACCTCAAGAATTTGTTCTGAATTTTCTTTAGTTCTTTCATATAGGTTTGGTACTCCGCAAACCAAATAATAGAAGCAAACTCCAATTTCGGTCTTACTAACGAAAAATAAAGTAATTTAATAATGTCTATATTAGAGAATGAAGAAGTTTGTCTGATTACAAAACCCAACATTCGACTACCAGATTTCATAATATCTCGTATATGATCAGCAAATGAGAATTGTGTATTATACCTCAATCCAAGATCTTTAGTATCAGTTTTTCTTTCAAGAACCACA